AAAAAAGGAGGACAAGTATTCAGCTTCTACACAACAGATCAGATTCTTCCCTGGCCTCACAGAGCCCCTTCCCTAGAAGCTGGGAAGCTCAATTCATTGTCTCTAAGCTTGCTAAAAATTTAACTGTTTCTCAGAGACTTTCTGCTTGGGGTACTCAATATGTACCGTACCTAACCATCCCTAGAGTTCACTAAGTTTCTGTAGTTAAAAAGCAGCTACTTAATTCAGTTCCCTCATACCATCCATAAATTTTCTTGGTTTCTCTATCCCCAGCAAAGTTCCTTCGCAGGGAAAAACCTAGATGTTTCCTCTTCTATTCATCTCTAGAATTCTCCTATTATCCTAGGTTAAAGTTTTGGCTGTTCTCTCTGCTTCTCCTCTCACTGAAATGTTTGGGACAGCAGCTACATGCAGATAACTTCTAAATTTTGTCCAGATAGACACTAGAATGCCAATTTGCCATAAGCTACCCTCCTCTTCCTCTTTCATGCTTTTGGAAATCTACTCATATATTTGGAGAGAGTGAGATCGGTAAGACTCTTGTGCCAGAAGAGCTCATAATATAATAGGGGAATTAGACACATGAAGAGTAAATTATAAACTAGCTGTGCTGATACATGCCTGAAATTCCAACACTCTGACAGGCTGAAGCAAGAGGATTGTCCATTCAAGCCCAGTCTGGGCAACTTAGTAACTTAGTAGGTCTGTTTCAAAGAAAATTAATAAAAAGGGCTTGGGATATAACACCATGCAAAAACTCTGGGTCCAACCCTCCAGTACCACAAAAAAAAGGAAATTATAATGAAAATAACAATATACTTAATTAATAAAAAAGTATATTAATAAAAATGTACACAAGGTATTATGAGCATCATGTACATTGCCAGAGTTTTCTAACATGTTAAATGAGATCACATGAAAATATATGAAAGAAATCTTTAAAACTAGGAAGTTATCCTAATTAGCAAAGCAGAAAACTGATGTTCTAGGCAGAAGAAATAGAATAAATGAAACACACACAATAACGCACAAAGCACAGAAGCATCAAAACTAAATGTGTAGTATATATAAAGAAAAGTGAATCTTTTGATATTGTTGGGTAATGATGTACTTTGGGTTTTTTAGGAGAATTTTGGAGTGGATAAAAATTTTCCATACTTTAGAATACAAAGGAATTAGGGAGAGCTCCTGAGTCTTTTTTTGCTCAGTGAAGTTCAGCAAAATGGTAGAAGTGTTCCTTTGCATTGGCCATAACTTACTTTTTGTAGAAAGGAACCAGGAATGAAAAAAATCACTCCTCTCAACACATCTATGAGTAGGATTTTGATGTAAATCAATTTTGCATTATAAAGCTTTGAAAGGCAAAATTACATGAGAATATTTTTTACATATGGGGGAATGGGTCCTTGGGTCTTACAAAGAGAAGAAGACTCTGTCTTTGGTCACTGGCATAGGACCCATGGGTATGCTCCCTTCCCCAAAGAGCTTGGAGCCTAAATCACAAAAAAAAATATCAGAAATATTTATTGCCTTGATCATTTTTGGCTGTCTCCGAAACTGAATACTGTATAATTCTGTCAGCGCTAGAATGGAAAAGTCAATGAGAGGGCTTGCCAAGGTCTTCCATATGGCACCCAAAATTGTGACCAAGACACTGACAGGGGCATGGTGAAAGGATTCCAGAAAGGAAGCTGCCATTAGGCATCAGCCCCTCTGCTTCACACAAGGGAGTCATTTCAGGATGCAGAGACTGGGGTGCAGAAAGGCTGTCAAAGATTTCCTTAGGGTTAAAAATGGTCATTTCTGAGTGTTCATTGTTGTGAACACAGTTTGACTTTCCTAGTTAATAGCTATACCCACTGAGTTTTAGATAATTACTACATGAAAACATCAGCCATGCACAGTTATTTTAAGGTAAAATAGAGAAGGTGGTTGTTAATTCCTTTTCAGACCAGTATGTTAAATGAAGAAGTCATTTATTATTGGTATTGCTAATGGCGATAAATAAGATTCAGTGAGTGAACAATTCTCAAAAGAGTAAAATTCAAAGGTAAAAAGTCTGCCTGTGTGTTTAGCTACTCTGTTTGTTTGTTTGTTTGTTTGTTTGTTTGTTTGTTTGAATTTTATGTACTTGGTACAGGATCTCCCTGGGCAGCTCAGCCTTGTAGAAATCCTCCTGTTTCAGCCTCCCTAGTGCTGGGATTATGGGTGTGTGCCACCACACCTGAGGCATAGCCAGAATGGGCCAGTTGGATTGGGATCAAAGCTGGGTCCTTGTGTTTGCCTAGCTTGTGGAGACAGCTGCTCTTTTCCCAGGGTCTCTGCTTTGAAAGGTCATCTATTTTTACATGTAGGAGGTTTGCCTCTTCCTTCTACTGTAGGAGTCAAAGCACATGCAGGGTTAGGAGGGTTAGATGCCAGCTGCAAAGATACAACTTTTTGTAAAAGCTGCAAGACATTGGATTAACTGGCCAAGGAAGGCCAGTATACTTTGAACGTGGTCCTTGTATGTCACTGTGGAGGACCACCTGGGCAACTCTTTGAAAGAGGAGCAATTGTCCCCATTTTGGCTGAGCCTGCCCTTACTTCCATGTGTTGACACACACAGAACTGGCTAGAACTCCTTCCTTATCCCTTCATTTGGCTCTCAGAAATGCATAACAGTCCAGCTGAGGTACTGGTGATTGTCTTAGAAGATGGCAGGCGTGTTCACCTCCACCCACACCCACTGCTCCCTTGTGTGAGCCAGGACAGGAGAGGATAAAGGGCTAATTCTCCACCTGTCAGTCAGGATTGAGTGTTGGAATAGAACCTATGACCTTCTGGGGCTTGAAAGATTATATATCAGAACTAAAACACAGACCCCAAAACATCAAAGCATTAGCTACTATTTACTCAATTGTGTAATCCAGATTACTCTCTGCACATCCTTCTCTGCATATCGCAGAGGTGATTTCAGACCTCCCACCTAGCCCAGGTCATGACACTCACCTACTTCCTGCCATTGTCAGTCACTCATCCTCAAGCCACTCCCTTCTTCATGAATGAATAAAACCCAGATTCAGCCTTGGGTTCAAGCCTTTGTTCCAGACAGCCATCATCATGGCTGGATTTAGGGTCCATTTGGCTCCCCAAAACTATAACAGTTTTCTTTCGTGCCCTTATTCTTGCCATGGTTTGCGCTGGGTATGGTAGATTGGAATTAATTTGATGGAATTCCAACAACTTATTCTTGGGATTACAAATAGAATCTTTTCAGACCCAGATGAAGACTAGGAAGGGCTTTCTATATGTCACTATCTCTAGAACAATTTTTTTCTTCATAAGAAAATGACTTTGACTTCCCAAGAGTACAATGAGACTCAGGATAGATTGTCCCGTTTTAACTTGCAAACAGCATGACAGCTTGGAAAACTAAGTTCACCCTAGAATGTGGTAAATACTGTAGTGAATGAATGGAAAGCGAGTGATCAATAAACTAGTGCATGATAAAAGTTATTTGCACATTTCTGCATGTGTTTTGCAGCACTCAAGTCATTTATGTACGTTTTGTCTGCTCTTTTAGAATGACAACTGCCAAGGGGACAAAAACCACGTGACCAGATAGGTTGGATTTCTAATGAGAGGAGCTAAAAGTTTCCTTTCCTTTTGCTTTTCCCTAGATCTCTCAGGCTCTTGTTAACTAGTTCCTGTGTTTGTTTCCCCACCTCCTTTACCAGACATGTGTTAGGTCCAACATTCCGCCATCATTAACTGTCAGTGAGTAGTTGTACCCATAAGGGTGACCCCTTGAAGTCTCACACCTAGATACTGATGCAGTCACTTGCCCAAAATGTTGCCTCTAAACCAATAATCAGATCACACCATGAGGCTGTGAATAGAAAGGAGCAGTCGGTCCAGGAAGGAGAAAAATTTTATTAAATGAAATACAAATGAGAGAGAAGCCTATTTGGGAAATAGGAAAGAAACCCTGAGAGGGGGCTTTGGGGAAAGGATTGAAGTAGAGACTTTGTATCAGCTCTGGGGTCCCGTTTTGTGAGATAGAACCCCGAAGATGCCCAGGTACTTTGTTTGCTTTGGAACATGAATACAGACGTAATAGTGGCAGAGCTGGGGACTAGAGAGGGTGAAGTCTCTTTCATGCCCACCTGAGAGAGCACCAAGGTGGCACAGAGGGGCAGACAAGGTAGCAAATAGAAGAAGCCTCGTATTGGTTGAGTAATTTGATGGGAACAAATTCTTTCATTGTCTCACCAGCTCCTGTGTAGATAAAAGAGGGGACACCCTGGAACCGGAGGAAAGGGGAGCAGGAAGAAGTGACAGCTCCATCTGGTATCCTGGATGACAGGCAGGTAGCAATCCCCAGTGCATCTTTACTTCTGTTTACTCTGGGGAGCTTGCTGGCCTGAGGGACGCTTCTGCTGGTCAGCACCTTTGGGTGGACATTGCTTCTTGGCCTGGGGAGCACAGGGATCCTTGGTTTTGGGCGAGCAGGTCTCTTGACATTTCACTGGGGGTGGCTGGCAAGGCTGCTTCACCTGCTGCTGCTGGGCCTGCTGGGGTGGGCACTTGGAGTGCTGCTGTTGCTGAGAAGACATTGCTGGAAGAAGCAAGCCTGTGGGAAACATGTGCAGTGACATCATGAGAGGGGCTCCTTCCATCTCTTCTCCATGACTCTGGTAGGAGCATTTTTCTCCAACTGCCAAGCACATGAGCTGTGGCTAACCACTTCAAGCTGATTAATGGGTTGCTTCCCAAGCACCCATGGTGATCCCCCTCTCTTTCTTCCCTCTTTTGCACCAGGTTTCCTGTTTACTTCATTCTTCCATGCACTCCTGACTTAACTGAATATATCATTTATTTCATGGTCTCACCAGGAATTAAAGTTAGGTGCTGAGGTCAAAATTAAAAAGAAGCACAGGCATTTACAAGCCCAAGACTTTCTATCTTTGCTACTGAATCTGGGTGATGTCAGCTGGCTACCTGGGAGGAGGTGGACAGGGAGTACAAGCAAAGAAGGAAGGGCTTGAGAGAGAAGAAGAGCAGCCTCTGTGTTAGAGGGAAGAGCTGTGTGACAATGGGTCTGGAGAAAGTGGAATACAAACGCCCAGTTTCTGTCCCCACTCCACCTCTGACTCATGAGATGCTCAGAAGTCATTTAAAGTGACTATCAGATAGTAATCCTGGCCTTCTGTGGAGAATTAGAAATGGAGGGATGTGAGAGCCCCGTAGGTCACTGGAAGCAAAGGACTATAGGGGAAACTTTCATCCCGTGACAGCCTGGTTCAACGGAAGGAACAGCTGCCAAGCAGGCTCAGGTGTGGGTCCTAGTGCAAACCTGTTACTCACTACCTGGAACCCCTGCAGGTATCTTGCAATTCTTGCATATTTAAGAAAAGATAAGTAATAAATAACAGCCTAGAACTGAGGATGCAGGTTTGGAAGACACCCAAGGCATTCCCAGTTCTGATGCGGGCCTTTGACTTTCTACACAACAGCATACCTTGCCTTCCAAGTTAGTGATTATTAATGGGAAGTGTAGCCCCCAAAATGGAAAGGTGGCAATCAGAATAGTAAGGAGTAAGGGGTGCGGAGTATGAAATACAATATCCAGTGTACTTACTCTGAGTGCAAAAGCAAAGTTTAGAGCTTGCTGGTGAGGCAGAAGAGAAGACAGCTTGAGAAATCTTTAAAGTAGAGTTCAGAATTGCTATAAAATGCCATAACTGTGAATAGCACCCTTTTGACTGGGAAAGTCCTCTTACTGAGGAGTCCAGCCCCAAATCAGGAACTAAGTCGCCTTTAGCAATGGAGTGATGGAGTGGGAATGGAGATTCAATTTCATAAGTAATAATTAGTGTACCATCTCCATATCTGTTAGAAGATGATGCCATTTTGCTGATGACCCAGGAATAAGAGGAGCTTGGCCTAGCGGCCCCAGACACCTCAATAAAGAAAGAGGCCAGTGGTCCCCAGGACAGGAACATTCGCACTTACCGGAGGCTGAGAGCTGGGCTCTGGGAGCAAAGGCTGAGGGCTGGCTTGGGAGCAGCCATTCTGGGAACTCTTATAAAGGCCCCCAAGCTGCCCCGGGCCCTTGGTGTGGCCCTGATTACCACCTCACAGAGAATTCCTCACCCACTTCTCCCACCTGCACTTCCTCCTGGGACTTGCTTTATGGGCCTGTTTTGATGGAAACCACCCACCAGCTATTTCCAGCGCTGGGTCCTTCTGCACAAGCTGATTTCACCCACCAAAGGTGTTTGCCAAACTCAGGGACATAAGAGCTTTTAAAAACAATAATGCTGAGTAGCTGGTCTCAAACAGAAAGTTTTAGGAAACTTACCTGGTAGAAGGAGGATAAAGAGGGGAAGGTTAGGGTTTGCAGCATTTCTGATAAATTGCTATCGTTTCTGTTTTCTTTTTTCTTTTTTTGCCTAGTCTTTGGTGCCTCACAGTGAATTCACCTTTTATGCTTATTATTTCATTTCATCTTTATAGTCAAGTGAGAATGTGCCATTATTATCATTTTTAAGATGAAAAATAAGGTTCAGAGTGATCACACAGGAAGTAAACAGCAGAGGTGGGATTGGAACCCAGATCTGGATGACTCAAAGATTTTTAAACATGGTACAGGTAGAAGTCAATGGCTGGCCACAGGGGCCATCTGTCCCTCCTTTTATCCCCAGCACCCAGTGTCTATGTGTTTCCCGATGTAGCTTCCCCTGGAGCCCAAGGAGAAGGTGATGTAAAAGGAGGCCCAGCATGTGGTAGTGCTGTCCCCACCTGTCCCCAGGTGTACCGCTCATGGCTCTGCCCAAACAAGGTGAGATACAAAGCGGTCTCTATGGTAGACTTGTCACATAAAATATAAGGTCTGGAAAATTTTGAATTTCAGGTGAGCTGCAGAATTTTCTAGAGCAGGTCCCAACTATTACACAGGTGATATGTACATTATAAAATCATTTGTTTGAAATACAAATGTAAATAAACAGGCTGGGTTTAATCCAGTTTTGTTTGGTTTTATGAGTTTGGTAATGCGGATTGAACCTAGGACCTCCACATTAAGCTATGTTTCCAGCCCTTGTTTTATATTTTAGTTTATATTTTGAGGCAGGGTCTGCTTAAGTCTCTAAATTACCCAGACTAGGCTAGAATTTGTTCTCCTCCTGCCTTGGCCTCCCAGAGTGCTGGCATAACAGCCATGTGCTACCATAACTGGGAGACTACTTTTATTTGTTAAATCTGAAACTCTACTCAAGGACCTACCTAGATGCTAGGAACAAACCCTGGTCTGGCACTTGGCTCCTGGTGCTGGGCTAGAGGAAGGCAGGTCAGCTCCAGAAGACTGGTCCACCTTTGGCTTCCTCCCCAAACTTCAAGATCTGGCCTGGTGAGAGCTCATCATTCAGTGTGATCATTTCTGCCACTTTCACAACCAAATGAAAGACTACCTGGAAAATAACAGGAACACCTCTGAGTCCTTTTGCAAGCATTTTATCAAACTTCTTGCCTTATTTAATCCTCAGTCTGTTATGCAGTGGGAATCTGATTTTATAGTGGAAAATTCCAGCTCAGAGGAGTTGAATGAAGCATCCCAGAAAATACAGTTGGCGAGCTGGGGTTGGGTGGGTACCTGACCCAGGGGAGGTTTCCAGTACAACCACAGCATCTCCACACTGGAGAAGAGCTTGTCACTGGGTGGCACCATGACTAACAAGCTTTTCTGAGCTTTCTATCACGTGTAGATCAAATATTGCTCATTGTTCAGTGTCATCCTCATTTAACAGTTAGCCCTTCCCCTAATATCCCCCTCAAGACCAGATCTCCCCTACTTTCTGCTCCCTCACTTGTTGACATAAAGAAGGTAATTTTCTGGGCTCCATCCCACTCTCCAACCTTGATCCCAACTTTTTCTCCTTTCTACCTGCACTCCCTGTTCTTTTCCCCCACTCTTTTGTGCTTACCCTGATCTAAGCTGTCTTCCACGGACACAGGCAGCAAGACAGACTTGGCCCCAAGCAACGCATATACACAAGCCTGGCACCTCCAGAGCATTAGCATGTGCATGGGGCCTCTGAAGGGTGGGCAACTCCACTCCCTCACTTCTCACCCAACTTTAGTTCTCTTCGTTCTGCCCAAATCCATCACTGGCCTCTTACTTTATCAGTAAGCAACTCTTGATTGATTTGAAGAATTCAGTCTAGTGGTGAAGACATGGCTCATAACACAGTTACACCTTCAAAGATTCTCTAGGAGACACAAACCTAACCATGGAGGCCTGGAAGAGACCATGTCTACCCCATCATGAGCATCTAATGTACAACTTCGAGTGCATTTAACACACTGTACCTCTGAAAACCTTGGCTCTCAGTGTCTCCGTGAGACACAACATTCCAGTTTCATAGAGGCAGACTAGGCCTTGGAATAAGGACATGCCTTGCCCAAGGTTGAGTAGAGATTTGTGTCAAGGCCAGGGTTGGATCACGGGTCTCCTGACTTGGTTATTTTCAGCCCACTGAAGAACTGACCTCCTGGAAGCTTCTTAGCAGAGGCTCCATTGAGAATAAATTAGGATGCTGATGGTGGAGGTATCTGCCTTTTCTTGTCCTAAGTTCCCTCCTTCCTTCCTCCATGATACTCTGCTCTCTGTGCCCGCCCTTCCTTCCTCTGGGAGATTCTGACTGAGTCTCCTGCCCACAGTGCCAGGCACAGGTACATTTTTATTAGTCATTAAATTATATAAAGTTTATAAAACACCTCCCTTTACAGTGTCCACAACATGCTATCAAGAAAGTTACTTGTACTATATATTTCCTGAATAAGAAAACTGGCTCCGATGGTGGCTGGATTTGGAATTCAGTGGTGGTGCTGTAGGTGACCCAAATTACTTAAAGCTATAACAGCTGGTTTTCAGGCACCCTAACAGGCTAGGACAGAGTATTATTCTTTCAAAGGAGGAGGGGATACTTCTTGGCACCCCTCAGGTCACCCTATGTCAAACAACCCCTCCAGGCAGGGTGGGTCCTGGAAAGCCTGAAAAGCTATAGCTCTGTTGTCCCTACTCCCACCCATAGCCCTACCAGCCCAGCCGAGCACAGGACTGTGCCTGGGCTTCCCTGGGGTCCTGCATCTGCTCATTCATCTTCAAGGGACCACGCTGCACTGGCACTGAGAAGCCAGCTCTGCATCTTCCCACTCTAGGGAGTAGCACCTGAGCACAGGTGTGTGCCTGTGACTCCATCAGGGAGGGGAAGGCCCAGGTAAGCCTCATTTCTGGGGTGAGTCAAAATGAGAAACTCTAGCCCCACCCTGCAGGTAAACAATCTTGTGACTGGGAAACAGAGGTCTGGGCACTGGGAGGCACCCCACAGAGACAGGAATAATTATTTATCCCTCCACTTAGAAAGATCTCCATTTTTGTCTCTGAGCATTGGGAGAAAGAGGGTGGTTAGTGGTTTTCTCTAAAAGTGAGTGGAATTACCTTATTATGCAAATTTCCAAGAATAGAATGTGCTTTGGGTTAATCATGAGAGGCTTTCTTTTGAGGAACCATATGTTGGGTAGATGAGATAGTCCGGTGTGGGGCTGCCTGTCC